GGCTTGTTTTACAACGTCGTTGCCAAGCGACGAAAACCCAACCCCGATGGCAAAACACCGGGGGGGGCGGCTTGTTTTACAACGTCGTTGCCAAGCGACGAAAACCCAACCCCGATGGCAAACACCGGGGGAGGGGGCTGGGAGGAAAAAAAAAACCCTGCAATATGAGACGGGAATAACATTCGACAAAACACCGCCAAAAACAAATGATCACCTCGGCAACGTCTTGAGCTGGCGTATGAGCAAATCCCCGCAGCATTCCAGGTGGTGCAACGCCCGCAGCACCAGGTGCTGGTCGTTCCGTCGGCACCTCGCCGCCTTCGCAGGCCCACCGCCCTGCACAGGTCCCCCTCGGGGGGACCCCTCATCAACCAACCAAGGTCTCACCGTCCTGCCGCCGCCACCCTGGGCCAAAAGATCGCTGTTTGAGTTGTGGTTGTTGTCGTTGTGGGTGTCAGAGGGGAGACCGGCTGCTGCTGCTGCCCCTGTGGAAGAAGTGCCATGCCCGGCTTCACCACCGCCGCCGGTTCCCGCTGCGGCGGGGCCGCCGAAGGGCAGCAGCCGTGCGGAGGAGGAGCTGAGGCTCGGCTCGCGTGCCCCGATCCGGATCTCGGAGTATCCCTCGCGGATTATCACGGCCGCGTGGCTTGAGACGATCGCCCGGGCGGCCGTCGATGCCAGCGCGAAGCGAGCCAGGTCGGCGGCCCTGAGGAAGCCCAGGGAGTGTCGCAGGGTGTCGAAGTCGAGGTCCGGGAGGCGGCGCAGGCTTCGGCCCGGGCTGCTCCCCTGCAGTTGTTGCTGTGATGGTTTCCCTCCTTCCTCCTCGGCTAGCGCCGTGCCCGCAGCATCACCACCGTTGTCGTGCTTGCCGCCGGCGGTGCCCGGCGACACCCCGATCCCCGACGAGGAACACCTTGCACGGTTGGTGTTGCCTCGCCCCGGGCCAGCAGCATCTACTCCCGCCGCCGCAGTCCCCTCATCCGCCGCCGTCGCGACGGTCTCCGGAGGTAGACGGGGCCTGTCCCCCATCCCGGTCGACCCGTGGCTTTTCATCATCAGGGTTTTCATTCGGGGGGCAGGCGATTTTGTTGTCTCTTTCGTTGTCATTGTGGGTGCTGCTGTTGCAGCGGGCGTTGTCGGTGATGGCGGCTTCATCTGGTTCTTCGCCGCCGAACTGGCCTCGACTTCCTCAGACTCAGCGGCGCCGCCTTGGCGCGGAGGCCTGTGAAAGGCAGCGTCAAACGAGGCGGGGGGGGGCACGTTTGCGTACAAAATGAATGCTATTAGTTCGTGGTGTGCCAACAGTCAATACAGGAAGTATACTTCGCTTGCGGTTTCCGGAGAAATGACCGTTGACAATCGTACGCGTTTTTTCAAGCCGCACCATGCAAAGGAGATTTTTCCATGTGCTTTGCTACGGCGACGAACATCCTCCATCAACTTGCTGCGCACGGGGGTCGGGATGCGGATTCACGCGCGGCACTTGACCATATTTCAGCGCCTTCCGGACAGGAATGGAAGATCTTGGAAGCATACGATGGGAGGCGGGGAATGTTGAGATATGCTTTGGTGCTCTTTGGCACGAGCCGTAGGGCCATCATGGGGCATTGCATCGGTCTACTCGCAAGCAAGGCGCGTGCCTACACCCTTATCCACCGCGTGCGTCGAAACGGGTCGCGGCGGGCAGACTCTGCAGCGGGTGTGGCCGTTCGTGTCTGTACGTTACGCGTGCCGAGGAGGTATAGTTTGGGGAGCGCAGCTGCCCTGTTGTGAGAACGTGTTGCCTGCAGCAGCCAAATGAAGGCAACGCGAACAACCTCTCGAGACGTTACAAATGATTGTTGTGGTCGACTGCGGGACCCAGCCTCAATTCCCCTGGGAACATGAGCAGCTTGTGCGACACGTACACGTGGCCCCTGGTCTAGCCCCGCCGCTTCACGTCATTGCTGTTGAAACTGCAGGGAGGAAATGACGATTTTGCTGTCGAAGCTATGCCTCACGCAGAATGTGGCCCGCACCTGCTGCTGTTGTGCTGCCCCCCTCGGCCAAACACAGACACCGTTGCCCTGAAAGCCTTGCCGACCAGACCCACCAAATCACCTAGAAGGATATCCGCCCCCACCACCCTGCGCCGTTTGGCTTCATGTTGCTGCTGCAGCTGCTGCCCCTGTGTGTGATGCTCAGTACCAGCACAAGCTGCGGCTCCTCCGTCTTCGCGCTCTCTCTTTCGAGAAACATCATCATCTTGCTTTGAAGTCATGACTCTCTCTCCTTCCCCCCCCTTGCGGACCCGGTCTTCTTCTGTTTCAGAGCGTGCTATCCAGCTGAACCGATTCTCTCACGCGTGATGGGACAGAGTTTCGTGTGTGTCGAACACTTCGCCTCGAGGGGCGACGCACAAATCTGCCTGAAAAAAGCGGCGCAATTTTTTATGGTGCGGTGTTTCGGTTCGGGGAACACATGCGGCGTTACACATCGCCTTTCAACAAGACCGTTTATATGTAGTACCCCGTTGCTGGATCGGGAGAGAGTGTGGGCTCTTGTATGCGTTCCTCTGCTTCCGCGCGCTATTGTTTGTACAGCTTAACGTCTCGTGACACGCAAACAGCCGTGGCACGTACAGCGGCACAGACAAATAAACGATCGCTGATCTGCCCGCAATCGAAGACTACCGGACGACAGAGAGAGAAGGGGCAAAGATCGGATCGGCCACTCACCGTTGCTCTCACAGAACAAACGCACGGGTTCGTCACGGGGTTGGGAGAGGGGTACACCACCCTGCTCTTCAGAGCGTCGTACTTCTTCGCGAAACTCTGCCGTCGTCATCATCAGCAGCAGAGGCCCAGCAATAACCACGCGAGCAACCCTGTGTGCTCGAAGTCCGACCGCCACGGGGCTGCATTCTCCAGTCCACGGAACAGCAGCAGGAAATGACTGACAATAGCACCTTCGGGTGTTTGACCTCCAGCCACGAGAATCTGGTGAGCTCCGCGATGTGTCTGAAATTGCAGTAGGTCAGCGCCTCCTTCATTTGTTCAGTGATGCGCCACCATGCAGTGGCCGGGGGAGCGGCGGCAGCCACGTTGCTCTTCCCAAAGACTTGTACATAGTCTAGACTAGGTACTGGTTTGGAAACAATAACGGGGTCAAATTGGATCATACCCACACACTACTTCCTACTGTAGGGTGGCAACCTCATAGTGCCCGGCGAGAGGGGGGCAGCTCCCCCTGAGGTCACTGCCGAGGCTTGTTCCCCGAGCCCTAAGCATATTGTTCTCCATCAGATGGGGCAGCCCAAACACTACGCGTAGACGACTGCTCGTACACAGACAACCATCGTATGGCTACTGCAGCACTGCTGTACTCCTTCAGCGACGTAGACTAGACCCCCGTACTTCGAAGTAAATGCAATTGTACAGTAGTTGTCGCGTTTGGCCTACTCGCTCTGGAGGTATCGTAGGCGACTTTTCCCCACCTGAGACTGACCTCACGGGCACATGCTAAATACGACAGCAGTGTATTGTCACAATGATTGAAGGCACGCCCCGTTTGGGGAAAGGACGAGAAAAAAGGAAAAGAAAAATCCACAAATGTTAACCTTCCTCCTGTGTGATCTCGGGTGGTGCACCGAACATACTGTTATCAAGAAATACACATGGACTACAATCACTGCGAAACTTCCCGTTCGGTATATAGTCTAACCATGGCATTCTGTGTACAATAGACTGGCGCCCGAATATATGGGGGTGAAAATTCAAACACATACCACACAACGAAGACCTCGATATTCGCCTGCTGACACTGAAGTCTCTTCATTCGCCAGGCATTCAGCGCGGTCGATGCTGTTCAAAGAACACACACATACTCATAGTCTAGAGACTTCCACGCCTGGCGCATCCTGGACATCCTGAAGGCTAAGCTTCCACACCTCTCTCCCGCATGTTTGTATTCCCGCATCACGGAGAAGACGGCGATACATGCCCTAAAATTTGTTGCCCGTAGGTTTTGGCCCTCAAACCCGTTCCTCTGCCCGGGGCTCTCGTTGCGTTGTTGTTGTTTGCACGCTGAAAAACGCCCCTAGCCTGCGCATTACTTTCTGTCTTCCGTGCCGGTCCGAGCCGTGCCAATGCCTTCCGTAGACACAAGCTATCACCCCGACAAGGGGTACAAGTCGGAAAATATCTGAAGGAAACCAATAGGACCCAGGAAAATCGCCGACAACGCGACTTTAGAGCGAGTTCCACAAGGTCCCAGACATACAGTCAGACGTCGCTGGTGACTTATCAGGCGCAGGAGATGAAAAAGCATTGCTTCTAGGATATTGATCAGAACAACCCCATTGCTTCCCGCTCGGTTGACCTCATGAAAACCGATTGGCGATCGTACATGACCGGTACCTGTCCACCGTGCGCGGCTCTTGTGTGTAGACAACAATCTAGAAAATACGTGCTCTGGCGTTGCCCGTGGGCATAGTCTACTGTCGATTTCAGTAATCTAAAAAAACGATTATATGGATGGTAGTGAAAAAGAAAACCGTCTTGCAGGGTAAGAGTCAAGAGGGGGAAAGGGAGGCGGGAACGCACAGACATGATGTTGCTGCTACTTTCAACGAGGTGTGACGCTAACCCATCTACCCCGCCCAAAAGGTACGGACGTATCTCAAGTTTGTCCGGGCGAAGCGAGACATTGCTCTGCGATCAATGGAGAGCGAGTTCGATGACATCAACAATGACAGGTGAACGGGGGGGGGTGTACTCAAAGTTGTGCATGCCGTAGTCGCTAGACCATTGACCTCCTATCCCTACAACGCCTGGATAGAGCACGCCGGGTTCTCACCGGACCATGCTCTCACATCACCAAGCGCGAAGCGCCGTGAGATATTCGGTGAGTCGCATGAAGGGTGCGCTGCATCCTGCTAAGGGTGTTCGGCATCTTGTGCTTACTTCCTTGCGTACGCATGACAGCTGCGTATGAATTCATGTATTTTCTGGTGTTCACTCCCAGAGACAGTTGTAAACTCTGTGTAACTGCCTCAAGGGTGCTTGACCATTTTAACACAACGTGGTGCGATCATCCCCCTTGCGCGGAGTGAGGGTTCTCCACCCCGCACAACATGATCTACTCGACCACCATTATGGTTACCAGGTAAAAAAACCCCGGTAACCTGGTTGCCGAGTTCACGAAGTGAATTGGCTTGTTTTACAACGTCGTTGCCATGCGACGAGACCCCAATCCCGATGGCAAACACCGATGGGGGGCCTTGTTTTACAACGTCATTGCCAAGCGACGAAAACCCAACCCCGATGGCAAACACCGGGGTGGCGGCTTGTTTTACAACGTCGTTGCCAAGCGACGAAAACCCAACCCCGATGGTAATCACCGGGGGGGGCGCAGGTGAACGGGAGTTGGAATTTTCCAGGAGCAACGCGGCGGACTATTGTTACTGTACAGATCGTACCGAGGATAATCTAGAAACGGTTGGCTGACAGACATCCTCTGCATCGAATCATGCTCCTGGGCGGCCGCGGGTCTGTCGTTCTATCCTCAAGTCATGTATGAACTCAGATGGAAAGCAAATCGGTGGGCAGCATCTCCACGTCGTAAAACGGGCATGGCGCGCTGTTCTACTCTGTCTGAAATCCCTGGCACGTTGGCTTGTGAACGTACCTGTTCCATGTACGTACGTGATCGTACGAGACGATGTCCCTAAACACGCGTAGTTGCCCTTAGGGCCGCATGCACGTTCAGGGGCGGCCTGGACAAGCATCAAAATAGGTGCAGTAGTAGACATCAGCCATCATCATGCTCGCGACGTGTAGCCGTATGAAGCGAAGGTGGGCTGTGCACGTTTATCCCGTACTCCCCTACGTACAGCATGTTAACGTCTTCCCGAAAATCCGCGCCTGCTTTCGATGCGCGCCAAGGCTATCGGAAGACATGTACAGCCAGCAAGACGTGGAAAGCATTCTAGATGGCTTGAGGGGCTGCGTGATCACAAACCTTCGTCAGGAGGTGGGGATTGTGTCACGTCGCGAATGTCTACCGGGTTGAAACTGGTAGCCTTAAACACGCGAGAGCGACTCTACAACCCCAAGAGATTGTGCGGCTAAGCGTCGATGTGCAGCGTGCTCGGCCAATGAGATGCGGCAATCGTCGTAGAAGGTCTGAGGTGGTGCGTGGTCACCCTTTGTGTTGCCTTCGCTGGAGTACACTTTCGTCTGAAGTACCGGGAAGCGGGCAAGACTACGAGGTCGTTTAGTACGGCGTGAGTAGCTCTGTTAGTGTGCCCATTAAGTAATCGATGCTATTGCAGTAGGTCAGGGCCCGAACTCCTTCTTCGCTTCTTTTCTCGATACGGTCCAGGTATGCCAACGCTCTCCGTGACACTGCGAAGGCAAAGAATAGCTACAACAGTGCATTGCATGCTGCGGGAAATACTTTGGTAGATTGTACACAAACAGAACGCAGCACACAAGCGATTCTGGTGCCCCTGTGGCCGCCAGGTTTGAGTCGCCGGAGGGATGCTACAGCAACAGTATGCGATTTTCCGGTCTAAATCAAAGAGGAATGACGTGAAACCTATTTTGTCGGGGCGTCTTGGTTGTACGCACGCAGGTAGGGGCGGTGGCAAACATGAGCGCCCTCTTGATGAAGCAGATGCTCGAGGATGCAGAGCAACAGGGAGCATCGCTGGCGTTCGACACTAGCACTGTTGAGGATCAAGGTACTTCCCCCGATTTTATTCGCCAGCTGTACAGTAAATATTTTCCATGATTTTGTTGCGGTTTCGTTCACGATCGTAAGTACACGAGCAAGCCCCATCTACGTAATATTGATTGGCAATTATTAATGGCAAAAGTAGCGTGGACCTTGATGTGGCGGTGCCCCCGAGATACACGTTTTTACAGGGTTTTCCTTGCATTAGCACAACAAGTTCGAAGGGCAGCACCGGAGTTAGGGTCCACAGAAGGAAGACAAAACGATGAAGGAGAACGCACAAGGGAGGCAGACACCGTTTGTGCTGGTTACAGATGTTTTTTTTGGGAGCAAGCACGCTTCAACATAGTACTGGTTCTCGTCGTTAATTCTAATTGGCTAGTCTCACGATAAGTGCCGGCGGTGTGCGCGTGGTGATTTTGATTGGCCGGCTTCCGACTTGTGCATGTTTGAATTGCAGCCCTGTTGGAGGAGGTGGAGCGGATGCGTGTAGACGGAGCGTTCCGTCGGCAAAGTGGCCAGGTGAAGCACAGTTCACGACACTTCAATGTTTCCTCTCCTGCTCGGTGCTTCGACAGCCAAGTTTTGTCAACGCTGATGTATTCTCCATAGCCACAGTCATCCTGACCTTCACCCGGCG